ACATGCTATATATACATATATGTATTTTTCACATGTTACAGTTGTTTATTACTTGAGTAGATCCTACACCCCGCGACAAAATATAGCACATCACCATTTTTACACGTTTTGACTACTTTTCTTTTGATTATTTAAGGTTCATTATTTTTCTATAAAAGTATAGCTCTTTATCTAACAAATACCATTTAAATCTAATTTTCAGACTTTGTACAAAAATTATAAATGATGTACTATCGTTTGTCGGGGGTGTATGTTACGATCCATGTTAATTTACACTGTCACCCAGTGTAATTATAAAATAGCATTTAAGAAAACTTTATTTTAGTTAATATATGCATACATATTTGCATTACATTTAACACATGTACCCCACTTACAATTCACTTTTCTATTCGTTAAAGTTAAGTTTTTATTTATCGTTACTTTTTGATGAAAATGTATGAAAATAAAATGTTTAAAAAATTTGAAAACAAACCTATTAGATTGAGATTTTGAAGGCGAAGTGATTGCTTATTGTGGTTAAATGTTTTTTTTTGTGTGGTTAATAGGAAAGACCAACAAGAATATCTCTAATTTTGGTGCAATTGTATATAGCGGTCATGAAAAAATTAACGGTACTATTAAATTTTTGAATGAGAATTTAAGTCGGTTTTGTTTTTTGCATAAAAATTATTTGTTCAGAAGGTAAAAACGTTATTTTTAATTTCATATTAGGAAAGTGGTTTCCGGTATTGGTAACGCATAATTTTTGCTAATTGAAACTTGTACTTTATTAGAATGGGCTACAAAACTGCATACCCGAAATTTTTCTAAAAAATTCTGATCTAAAAATACCAGTACCAATACCGGAAACCACTTTCCTAATATGAAATTAAAAATAACGTTTTTACTTTCTGAACAAGCAATTTTTACTTTTTACTTTGCGACTTGTTTTTTTATTTTTATCCACTAATATGAAACATCCCCGTCGGTTACACAATATTTGCATATGTTATCTCGAATTTTGTATTTGTGTGTGTGGAGTATTTGTATGTGTCATGTTCTTGTACTGGTAAACTGGAAATTGTCTGTGGAAGGCTTTGAGCAGAGCAATCATCCTGAGGACTCTCGAGGCTGAATCAGTTTTCGTGTCAGGTAATTGTGTAAAACGCAGCAAACTTTTATAAGAGCATCACATGTTTCTAAAGAAACTTCTATTGGCCTGTGAAAGACACGAAAACGCGCAGCCAGCCTGCCAAAAGCCATTTCCACAGTCAGTCGTGCTCTGCTTAGTCTATAATTATACGCCTCCTGCGACGTGGTAAGGTTTGAACTTCGGTTATAGGCTTTCATCAAGTGCCGACTTAACCCAAAAATGTCATCGCCGATAAAATAATAGGGTGTTTTGCAAACTTGGCCACATAAAGGATTATCTGTAGGTAAATTTAACTGGTTATTTAACAACGCATTATATAAAGAACAGTTTTTATACACCATAACATCAGATGCCCTGCCGTTTGCTCCAATATCCACATAAATAAAACGACTGTGAGCATCGACAACAGCAAGCAAAACCACGCTAAAATAGCCTTTATAGTTGAAATAGTCGGAACGAGAATTTGGAGGCGCTTTTAACCGAATGTGCTTTCCGTCAATTGCTCCTAAAGTGTGCGGGAACTGCCAAAGAGATTCAAAATTATTTGCAACATCCAACCACTCTTTTTCTGTTGTAGGTGTCTATAGAATAACACATACACATACAATAGATGTACATATTTATGTTAAAAACTATTACACATGTCGCTGGCTTAAATTGATAAGTTCCTAAGTGCAGTTTTTCAAATTTTACAGGAGAGAATAAACACGTTTCAAACACATTTTCTTCAAGCACTTAATTTGCAAAAACTTCAATACAAGATTTTAATTCATTGATGAGACGTTTTTGTATTCTTTTTGCTTATACAATTTTCATCGACTATTATGGACTTAGCAAATTTGCGTATAACCGAATAGAAACTGCTTCTTGTATCAAAATATGTATATGTATGTATGTTTTAAGAAAAACTGGACTTAGCAACTTTTGACTCTAAGCTAGCGATATGTAGAATGGAAAAATTACAATAAGCACCTTTAAATATTCCTCCTGAAGTGCTTCAGTCAATGCTTCCAAAACTTCTGGCAAAAATTTGCTTATTGTTCTTCGTGATATGTGTGATAGAAATTCCAAAGAACGAAACGAATCGCCAGTCGCTAAGTAGCGCAAAGTTATAGCTAGGCGAACTCTTGTTGTAAAGGCACATCTCATCCTTGTATCACTTTTTTAATTTTAGTATCCACCTATATATGCATGTAAATATATAAATACATATGTATGTATGTTACAGGCACGTGTACGATAACCGGATGGCCAAGTTTTATTCATGTATTCATATGGATGTTCGGATGAGGAATCCAGGAGAAATTATGAACAAATTCCACCTTGACTATTTACATATTTAAACAATTGGACTACTTTTGCGCAAGCTGCTTTTGGGGTTGGCTTTCTTTTACGGCCGATTTTGTTTTACTTAATACGCCGGAATGGGTAGGCCGACATTGTTTATCACATGCATACGTTGCTAAAAGATCGCACTTTTGTTTAAAAGTACTTTTATTATATAATATTTACTAGTTTTATGAAAAAATTTTGTAATACTATCAATTGCGGGTTGCAAAGCTACATGGCCGCTTTTGTTTCGTTCATTACGTCGTAATGGGTTGGGCGAAATTATTATTTATAACATGTACACGTTGGCAAAGGATCACACTTGACAAAAGAGGGTCCTCCGCCCCTCTTGTAAGGGCTCCCTATGGGCCTCTGCCCACCACGTATACAACGGTCGGTCGTAAAAGAAAAGTTTCCCCGGATTTGGTCGGGCTTCAAAAAACTAACACTGGCCGGCCAACATCGGCTACGCTATCTACAGCATTTTTACAGATGGATTTTTTAAAGTAATTTTTCCCGGTTTCCTCACGTGGAAATACATCGAAATACATGATCAGAATTCGTCGCCCGGTTATCGTAGTCTTTCCATGTTACAAGCCCTTCAAATAAAAAATATTTCATGTACATATATGTGTATTTACCAGTGAATGAACCTCATTGAATTGGTCAATGGACATCCTGCAAAAGTTGTTGAAGTCGGTACCATCTTCCCATAAAATGTTTTTTAAAAGGTTTGCTTCCAAGTCGTGAAGTTCCCTCTGCATTAAAAATGGGTTCACCCAAAACCGCGGCTTTTTTCTTTTTTCCTCCTCTTTATAAAGTTGTTTTAGCATTTCCAAATGCTTAAGAGCTTCAATACATCGAACATGCTTTGTTGGCGCCATTTTAAAAATGATATGTTAAGATATCAAAGTGCCCACACACAAAATCTTGCAATCATATTGCTGGCAATAATCTGTCAAAATGACAGATGGTAGGCCATCGCTGTTTGCCTGTGGAGTTCCGCGGTAAGATAGGAGGTGCCACGCCCTCTTTTCCAATACCGCCCATTTTTCTCCATGAATATGAAATTATATGATATACAGTATATTTTGCTTTGCTGCCTTTATGCTTAAGTGCACATTTAAGATACCTACCCCAAAATGCGCATCAAAAGCATTATTTTTAACATTTATAAGGAAACTTCTCCGATAGATGCATTCAACATACCTGCACATTGGCGATAACTGCCTTAAAAATTGTGCGACTAGTATCAATTATCAATGAAAGTATTATGTTTACCTGCACTGGCCCTACAATTACCTAATTTTACAACCTTTTATTTATTTTGCTCATCTCGCAGAACAACGAAAATGCTATCAATTTATGTAGTTATATAGATAATTAGATAACATACATAAAAATTTCGCTTGCAGTAATTTCTACATGGTAAGTGCTCCGCCAATATTTGGTTTCATAGGGATTCGGATACCTTCCTCATTGAAGTAGTAAAGAAAATTCGCTTAAGTGCCTTTTTCGGTTACGTGCACAAGTTTTTCGTGCAAAGAAGGATGTCCAGCTAAGCAAAATATACTGTACCTCTATACCAATTTCCAGTACTCTACCACAAATATTTCAAGAGATATACAATATAAAAATTTTAGTTAGTAGGGAGGTGCAACACCCCCTTTTACGAATTTGGGCAAACTTCATAAAAACCATCTGCATGATAGCTTGAATATGCTGTATAAATTTGTTTGAGTTCGGTGAAGCCGTTCTCAAGTTATAATCTCACACCAAAAACGTGTACTTATTTTTATACATAAGATACATATGCCACGCCCCCTTTTCCTAATTTGGGCAAACTCCACCTAAAATATAAGCATGATGGCCCGAATATGCTATATAAATTTGGTTGAAGTCGGTGAAGCCGTTCTCAATGGTCACACCAAAAACGCTCACTTATTTTAATATTTTAGTTAGTGTGGGTGGTGCCACGCCCCTTTTCAGAATTCGGGAAAACTTCGCATAAACCATCTGCATGATAGATCGAATATGCCACATAAATTTGGTTAATTTCGGTGAAGCCGTTTTCAAGTTATAAGCTCACAGCAAAAACATGCACTTGTTTTCATACATAAGATACATATGCCACGCCCCCTTTTCCAAATTTGTGCAAACTCCACATAAAATATCTGCATGATGGCCCGAATATGCTATATAAATTTGGTTGAATTCGGTGAAGCCGTTCTCAAGTTATAAGCTAACACACTAATTTTTATATATAAAATAGAGGCGCCACGCCCCCTTTTCCGAATTCAAGCAAACTTCACACAAACCATCTGCATGATAGCCCGAATATGCCGCACAAATTTGATTGAATTCGGTGAAGCCGTTCGCAAGTTATATGGTCACACCAAGAACGTTCACTTATTTTTATATATAAGATTTAAAATTTTCAAAATTTTAGTAGGGTTGTATCTCCTCTCCCTATGTTTAGCCCTACGGAGAGCGCGCTTTAAAAGTTACACAAGAGGACGCTCTGCGGCAATTTAGCCGCAAGGTGCATCTCAAAGGTTGACTGCATTTTTTTTATGTCGAAAAATCATTCAAATAAAACATTTTAATAATTTGTGTTTATACTGAAACATATTATAAGCATTAATTTTTGTTTTGCGTTTTATCCGTCATCATCAGTGGTGATGGTATATTCTACACATTGTGAAATATGCTTGCAATGTTTTCTGAAAACATTTTTGTTACAATTAATACAACAAATTTTTGTTTTATTATTCCTGGTACATATTCCTGGTTTCATCTGCTATTGCGTAGCTGGTTCGCTTCTACATATGTTTAAAAACATCCTTCTTTCTCTAAAACCTAATAAAATAAATATCATAATAGTCGCAATAATGTTTACTTAAAGTATAGTCTTCAAATTACACATGACAAAAAAAAATAACAATTTAGATTTAGACACTTATCACAAATTCACTTTTCCAACTATCTTAAAAAAAATTGCGAGTTACATTAAAATTTGCTTAGTACACGGAAGGGCGCGACGTGGCAATTCAGCCGCATACATGAGACACCAACATTCAAATACAAATATCAACTGAACGATATAACCATTGTGGAAGAATACAAGTGAGATATCTTAAGGTTGACAGATAGTTGACAGGGTGTTCAATATGGCGATGACAGTGGGAACAATATGGCAGCCAATATGGCATACAACACCGAATGGCCCGAAGTAGCAAAACTACGACCCGAATGAAACGCTTTGGAAAATATAAAAGCCAGGATTTTGTGCAGCGCCGAATTTTAACAAAAGAGGGTTTTGTGTTCTCAAGATGAACAGAAAAGGGTTGCTGTGCTGTTTCGTTTTAAGCTTATTTTAATCTTAAAGTATCTAATTAAGTATTAAAAGGAGACAAAAATTAAAGCAAAAATTTAAAATATATGTACATATCTGAAAATTTTAAATAAAATATATATTTTCACGAGAGACAAATTAAATAAAATGGGTTAACTTTAGGGGAAATATACTTATCAGATTGGGTCAGATAGCGCTTTTACGTTATAAATAAAAATAATTCCTACTTAAATTTTATATAATTTTGGTGACGTATTTCTAAGCTGACCCTGAGATCTGTGAAATAATACATATTTATGTGCATATATTGTGTTGATTATGCTCTAAATCGCTAAATATTTCTTGCAGCAATCAGCACCATGGGAAAGTGAAGTGACAATAGGCTAGTTTTCTTTATACAGCCCGTTTTAAATTCGAATTATTGTTATAATAAATTACAATTATTGTTTGTTTCCGCTTCGGTCAACCGCGCAAATTATTTATTAAAAAAATGTCGTTTAAAAATTGCAGATTTTGTTTACTTTTGAATAAGACTTTATCGAGTGCGCTATAAAGACAGGGGGATAAATGCTGTAAAGAAATATATGTTGAGTCCAATCGGTTTTTCGCTAATCCGGTTTTTGTGTAGGTATAAACAAGGTATATTAAAAAAATACCTCTCCATGGAAAAATATCGTTATTTTCGTATTTAAAATTAATCGGAATTATGGGGGGTTATAAAAACTCGTTTTAATCGAAACTTTGTTTTTTTCGGCTATATTTGTTATTATTTATTGGCCCAGATGCAAATATTGAATGAACTAACATATTTTAAATATTTACGGAACTACCATTTGTATGCAACCCTGCCTATCCTGTATTCAAGTAGATGTAATTCGAAAAATTTAAACGGATTTCTTCAAATCAACCTGAGCTGAGGACATATTGCGAATTCATTTTAAAACATTAACCACTACATTATATTAGTATTAAATACTTTCAATTAAGAAACAATTCTTATTAGAAAATAAATATGAATCGTTTTATTTTAAATATTCCAATGTATATTTTTTGTTAATGTAGATAGTGCGGATTTAACGTATTTTATAACCGTTACATGGGGAAAATAAATTTAAGGCAGATTGTTATTAACAATTTTTACACAATTTACGATTGCAATCAATTTCTTTCAAAACTATAATCTAAACGATTGCAAGTTGTATTTCTTACGATCAAAACAGATTCCAATATTAAGTATATTATGCAAATGCAATCCAATTTGATTTGAGTTATTCAGTTTTAGATACATTTATATTTCTGTGTTCGTATGGAATAGTAGTTTATGTCGGGAAGCTGGCTTTAGTATAATCCGGCATTCCCTTTATTATTTACAACACAAGGAATTTTTTGATGACCCTTAACAAGAATATGGACATGCTAGTATCGGAACTATTTCTTGCACGTTTATTTATCCAAAATTTCTTCATCGGCTCGGCGCCAGTGAGGGTATGCTGCGAATGCCGCATTATACTAAAACCAGCCTTTTGACATAAGCTACTATTCCATACGAGGGGGGCACGTGCGAAATGCGGATTTTCCCAGTTGCAGTACTGCAGTAACTCGACACCTTCCTCACCAACCGCTCTGTCCTCTATGAGCTTCTTAATGTAACTGCAAATAAAAGATGGAAATTTAAGATAAAATACTATCACACCACACTCTTGTAGTATATTGGCTATCAAGCACCAGAAAATTTCCATCACGCATTCCATATGCCACCGATTGTCGTGGATCAATTAAAATACTGTCATCACAGCTTTTTGGTACTCCAGCAACTGGTGTGTCTATGGCGGAGTTATGTGGAGCTGTTGCATGACTAAAATCAATTTGGGCTCTTTGAGAACTGGCTTGTTTGTTGCGAGCAATTGGCATCAAATGTATGCAAATTAGATTTCCAAACGAGCAACTGTTGAATACAGGAAAAAATTTATATTATATGGTTCCGCTAAAGTGCTCTACTACCGTGTATAAATTGGCCGACCTTCTAATAAATCAAGCAATCTTATTGTATCGTGTTCGCCGCCAGTCACCAAGAAATTTCCACTTGGGTGAATGCAACATCATTCTCCGGCGACGAATGCACTGTATTAGCTCGCCTTCAGCTTTGTCAAATATCTTAACGCGGTTACAACTTAATGCTAAAGCCACCAGATTGCCGTCTGGATGCCATGCCAGCTGTCGTCCCATACCTCTTCCCCCGGTGAACGTTCGCATACATTCGCCTGAAAATATATCGCAAATTCTTAACTTGTCACCGCATGATGAAATTAACTTACCATTAGGTCTGAATTTTGCTGCGCGCACCCATTTATGTGTCCAGTGAAAGATGTGTATTTTGAATCAGTATTTTGATGGCTGTTCGCCATTTTTCTAGTCTGCAAACGAATAAGCTGACGAAGAAGCAAACAAATTCAAGCACATTGTTGCATTCTACCGTACTTTTTAAAAGCTTTAAAATCTTAAAACATATGTGAAAAACTTTTATAATCTGAATATTTCTAATGTCGCAATCAAAACCAAATTTTATAAATAGCATGTTTAAAAAGCAATCATCTAATATTTTTCAAGTTTTTGGGCATATATGTTACCATTTGAACAACAAATACTATCAAGTTTT